TAGCTCCGTATGTGGAAAAAGCTTCTTTCCTTTATGTCAAATCTTTTGTCTAACACTACACCATCATACCCAATCTATTTCCACACAGTTTAAGGCTTCACTAGTTCATTGAAACGTAGGAATTATGAAACTAGTTGAAAAAATCTCCAAAAAATAATTAGCTTCATTTCTTTATTTCTTTATTTCTTATAGAAAAGGAAATAACTTTCCAAGGACTCGGAAATAATAATCGCATTTTACTTGATCAAAATTAGGCAACAAATGGTAATAATATAATTTTTACTTTTATTTGATTTGTATATATATATGTATATATATGTATATATATATATATATATATATATATATATATATATATATATATAAAGTATTAATTATTATGGAAAGACAATTTTGTAGACATTACGATTTTGCTATAAATGGTGCAATAATTAATACTTTAAGCCTCATTCTGTGAAAAAAACTCCAAAAAGTCCCATTTTCTCCTATATAAACGCATTTACAAACTGGCGACGATGAGCGGGCTCTTAACCTCAAAATAATTGAATATTTTACAGTCTTCCATTTGACATTAAAATACAACATAATTTTACTACGAGAGAAAAGCCTATTTTCGACCCACCCTAATGTACACTCAGATCTCGTTTTATGCGATAGATGCGTTCCAAAACAAATCGCATACATTGAATTCTCATAAAACGATACTCTAGCTTCATATAAACACTAATGATTCGTTCCAAAATTCTAAAAAAACCGCATAAATTCAAATTTTAATAAAAAAATCATAAAAAATCGCATAAAAAAAATCAAGAAATAATATTTTAATTTCATTTACTTAAACAATAAAAACAAAACACGATAAAAAAATAAACAAATGCATATATAACATTAATTCATTAATTACTGAATAAACAGAAAATGATTCTAAAATAAGCTGAAACTTTTTTTTAAGAAAATTCTGTTAATAAGTATGATTAATCTGAATCACTGTATAATTGTCTGCATCATTTTGGAATTGGTTCAACGTCACTTTCATCACTAGATGATATAATCATATTGCCATCATATGGTAAAATATCATTTTCATCTTTAGAATTTATATATCTTTTAAATTAATAGGAGACGAGATCAGAGAATTTTTAGAAGTTTCAATTGTTTCTTTTCTTGCAAAATAGTTTGTCATCAAACTTTGAGATTTTTTTATGTTGCTCTTGATATCCGGAAAACAGATCAATCAGTCCGCGTTGGATCCATATTAAGAATTTGATTTTGTATAGCATTAACTGTGCTGAGGATCTAAAATTAGATTTGAATCCACATAGTGTATACGGCTATATAAATATGGGACCGTTGTGAGTGTCCGCTTAAATAAAACAAATTTTATTTTACACACTTTTGTTCTCTTTCCGTATCATATTAAATTTGAATAAATTCCCGAATAAAATTTGTTTCTATAAAAGAAAGAATATAGGGACTATTTTGGGAAAAACCTTAAAAGAAAAACTTTGAATAAGTCTAACTTTTTATAGGGACAAGATAATTGTTTTTTGTTTATTTAGATTTTTTTTTAGAAAACTAGAGGAAATTTTTAAAAAATGTTACGATCCTCCGTAGGCCAACCACATTTAAAAAACTAAAAATAGACCGGGAAAATTTAAGAATAAAAAAATTAAACCTAAATATCTCTTAAAGCGAAAGAGATAACCCACACATTTAAGCATATTTTTTGTAGATCTTCTTAAGGAGTAGTTATATTTTAAATTTCAGCTCATTATAAATGGATTTTTAGCGTTTTTTTTAATATTTTATACCCGAGCTGATCAAATTTGAGGGGCTACCCACTGGAACCCATTCCGCCCTCGATCACCTACAACTATCAATCAACTCGAAACCCTCAGCTCCAAACAAATTTCCAAATTTCATTGCGATATATCCAATAGTTGCAGAGATGCCGAATTATTTCTCAAAATAAATGTTTTTAAACAGGATTAAAATATATTTGTTTATACTTTATACTTTAAAATGTTTCGTTTTATTTCTGTTATTCTTCCAATTACATAGAGCATTATTCAAATTATTCAAATGAATACCGGACATTATTCGATAAAATCCATTCAGTTTTATTTGAACTCCACAGCTTACGGGTTAAGATTGTCAGATTTGAATAAAACTTCGGATATATATTTTGTATTATCTAGGATATAATATTCTGAAAATACTTTATTTAAAATGTACATCAGTAAATAACACTAGCTTACAAATTAATATTTTTTGTTTGCTCATGGAATGAAACATATATTTTTGGAAAGGGCTATGTCCGGTTGTTTTTTATTTTTTCCCTATACGTCGAAATTTTGAGATAAAGTGTTTTTTTTTAAGCATCCTTCTTCAGTAGTGATGAAAAATATTTGAAAATGAGAATGGATTATTTGGTGCTTGCACCTGTTTTGGGAACCTAACAATCAACTCAGAAAAAAATCAATAATATAAAATTTACGCCTTCATTAACACACATTTTGTCAGATTTCTTTATTTTTGGCCCGATTTTTAGTAATTTTTTTGATAATTTTTTTTTAAATTAAAAAAAAATAAAATTTGAAAAAATTATTGGCATTTTATTCCTGAATTACAAACTTACGGATCTGAATTTAGCCCTCATAGTTCATTTCTTACATTCCCACTTATACTTTTTCCGAAAAACTCTTGGATGTGTGTGTGATGAAAATTGCATTTATTCACCAAGATTTAAGATTATTGCAACGTAATTTTTAATATATTTGTGACAGAAATCCATTGTTACAGAGTTGTGAGGAAGACCTGTAACATTTTTTGTATACAAAATAACTACACCCCTAAATATTTAATTTTGTTTATTTATTAAGGTGTATAAAATCGATTAGAATTAAATAAATTGTTTTTGCTTTCGTTTTTGCAAAAAAAGATTGCTAAGTCATGGTCAAAAATCAAAATTTTAAAATTTAAACTTAAATATTTTTGTTTATATGAGAATAAAATTATTAAAATCAGCATAATTTTACTTTACTAAGTCATATTCAACACGAGGTAAAAATAGAAAATCGGTCATAAATCGGTTTAATATATGTATATACAATATCTAACTATTTTTTGGAAAATGTATAGAAAACATTACTCTGAAAGCATAGTCCAAGCCGATACGATATATAGATCTCGAGATATATCACTTCAAAAATTAAAAACATACCCGGGTATGTGGGAATTGACATAACGATTAACCCTTTTTAGCATTTTCTTTCTTTATGAATAATTCAAAAATTTGACGTCCTAGATTTTTTTAAATAATTTTTCTGGACTTATAGAAATCCATATAGGTTTTATATCATGAGCAAAATCATTGTAAACTAGTGTAATTAATACATATGTATTCTCTAAAATATTACAAAAAATGCGATTTTCCCGAAATCCGCCGAGTTCAAATTGCTAAACTGTAAGAGCGAGTTTTTTAGTTGGCATTAAAATCTAATGTTCCGGTTTGATTTTTTTGAGTACAAATATAAACTTCGCAGCGTTGCCATATTAAACAACAGAAAACATCACTGTTTGCTATCAAAACAATGCATGTTTTGTAAAAAAGAAGAAGACAATTGTAAATGTAATATGAAAATAAACAAAAACTTAAAAAAAAAACAATTTTATTTTTATGAATCCATAATTTATACAAATCAATAAATAAAACATTTAAAGTTTATTTTTTTTTTTTGCATTTCTTATTCAAGTTTAAACCTTATTGGGCGCTTAAACTGGCCAATAATTAATTAAATTAAAATTAATCCTAGAAAGATGTTTTTGAGTACTCAGTAAATTTTATTTGCTACTTTAAGCGCCCAATGGAGGTAGTTTAAACTTGAGCAAAAAATGCAAAAATGTAAACAAATGCTACAAAAAAATATATGCAATTTTTATAAAAATAAACATTAAAATGTTTTATTTCTTGATTAGTATAAATTAGGGGGACTTCTAAATAGATTTTTTTTGTTTTTAATTTAAGTTATCGTTAATTTTCATTTTCCATTCACAATTGTCTTCTTCTTTTTTATAAAACAAGCATTGTTTTGATAGCAAAATGTGACGTTTTCTGTTGTTTTGCATGGCAACACTACGAATTTTAAATTTGTACTCAAAAACATCAAAGATTAACATTAGATTAAATCTATTTTTAGATTAATTAATCTGATTATTAATTGGCATTTAATTGCCAACTCAAAAACTCGCTCTAAGTTTTCAACCAATTTTTGTATTATATTATTTTTTCCTTCATACACGCTTGGAGCACTCTAGTATACGTTCTCCAATGCTTCCTTAGAACTAGTTCCGAGGTTGATAAATTGGAACAAAAATCATTGACTGTATAAGGCTTCCTCAGAACTAGTTCTGAAGGTGACAATTTCGAACAAAAATCATCATAATCATGCGTTTTAGAACTACATAGTTGTGGAACTAATACAATTTTTGCTGGAAAGCTTTTATTTGAGCCAAAAAATTATAAAAACAAAAATCGCCGATTTTGTAAAAAAAAGTCGAAAATTTAATTTTGAAAAAAGTCCAAAAAATTAATACGACTAACATTGAAGCAAATTTCATCTCGATCGGAAGACTTAGGTTTCAAAAGTTGACTTGACATGAAATCCCCAATATATTTTTAAGGGTCCGCTATTTTTACCAATATCGGAAATTTAGTTTTCAAACTGAAAGTCCTGTTAGATTTAGTTGTACAACCAAGATTCAATAGAAGTGTTCCGGTTTTTGCAATGAAATTCGTAAATAATGTTCGTATGTATTAAAGGCCTGCACACGATATTTTTTAAACAAATTGTCGCATTATTGTTGTCTTGTGCAGGCTTTTAGTATGTATGAAGAAACTCTGAATGCCATTTGCTGAAGAAGATATAGTTTGAAAAATTTAAGTGACCAAAATTGTATTCTTAGTTTTAATATTAATGTTATAAACATATGCATTTCAGTTCTTCGTTCAAATATGAATACATTGGCACCCAAAGAACTATATTTCTTTTCCGATCCTCGACAAGATTCGCTGAAATATTTAAAACTTGAAAGTGATCGTATTATGCTTCATTACAGCAAGCGAACTGATTTTTGCTTCTATCAGGAGTTTGAATTTAAGTCTGCAGGACAAGTGTTAAAGGTAAGTTATTGAATTGTCTGTATATGTATAGAAATATTTGTTCAATTCACAACCCTCTTTTAACTACGTATAGTGTGTATTTTTATATTATTTTATATATATGTACGTTTGTTTTTCATATATTTATTTATTTCGTATTCAATGTCAAACTATCATTCTCATGTGAATGCCCAATTTTTATAAGATAAAACAGAAGAAGAATAATTTCATAAAGTAAAAATTTAAAGAAGTGAAATAAAATAGAAAATAATTCATATTAGTGATATTATTAATTTAGTTTTTCAATTTAACTGTATTTTTATAAATTTTTAGCGTGTTTTTTCTTTCTTTTGGCTTTTTGCAATATAAAACAAGTAAGAAAGTATAGTCGGGCGTGGCCGACCATATGATACCCTACACCAGTTATGAATATTAAATGTGATTTATTTTTCATAATATCTCATTTATCTTCAATATTCCCTTGTTCCGATACATTTAAGCAATTTATGGATGAAAAACTAATTTTCTGAAAGAGGCTTTATATGGGGGCTAGGGGCAAATATGGACCAAGCCCGATAAAATTTTGTGAATATATTTATATTTACATAATATTTTATTGTGCTGAATTTCATCGCGATATTTGTGTTTATAAGTTAATTTGGGACATTCAAGTAATTTTCTGAAGGGGACTTTGTATGGGAGCTAGGGTCAAATGGGGCCCGATCTTTATGAAATTTGGCAGGGTTATCAAGACTTCTATAAAACTTAGTTGTGCCGTATTTTATCGATATATCTGTATATTTAACATAATTATGAGCTCAGAAGCCCTTTTCGGGCGGTTCTGTTCTATGGGGGCTAGGTGAAATAATGGACCGATTTTAACCATTTTCAATAGGCTTCGTCCTTGGGTCAAATAAAACGTTGAAAATTGCGACCTGTAGCTCGCGCACAAGGTTTACATGGACAGCCAGCCAGCCAGCCAGACGGACGGACATAGCTTAATCGACTCAGAAAGCGATTCTAAGCCGATTGGTATACTTTAAGGTGGGTCTAGGACGAATATTTTTATATGTTACAAACATCAGCACAAATCCGATATACCCTCCCCACTAAAGTGGTGTAGGGTATAAATACAATTGGCTGTTCACAAGTAGATATTCCAATTCTGTACATATTTTAATAAGCAATACAAAATACAAGACCAGTTGTGAATTAGACAATTATGTATACTTTACTTAAGAAAATATACATACATATATACTTACACTTTTTTAGAACTGTTTATTTCTATGATTTAAAGGGTTGTGATAGAAATAAAGAAATCTATAGAAATAAATAACAGTGTTTAGTTAAAAATATGAAAATTAGTTCAACAATAAATGTCGAATATTCGAATAAATATATTGTCAAGCTACATATTGTCACCTGAAATGCAAGACATAACAACCAAAAAATATAAAATCGACTTTTTGATTGAATATGATCCACCACATTAAAATACATGTTGCTGAAAATTTTTAGAACCCTTTTGTCAAAAACACCGACTTTATTGAAATGAAATTCAAAATGGCGTAACAACAAATTAGTAATTTCCACAAATCTAAAAATCCCAAAAAGCAAAATAATAGATAGAGTTATATTCTGGCGATAGAGTTATATTCAAACGTGTTTATCGATGTTGAGATACAATTAGTGTTTATAAACCGGTTAACCGGTTTTTATTGCGTATTTCGGTTTTTCGAAACCAGGTTTTTTAAAATATTGGCTTTCGGTTAATCGGGTTATCTGGTTTTTAAGTCTTGGTTAACCGGTTTAATTTAATTTTTTAAATTTTAATTTTTAGTACAAAATTTTATGTTTTCTTTGATTTTATATTGTGATTCGCATTTTTAAAAATTTTTAATAGATAATTCTAAATATTAGGTATTTTCCATTTGTGTATATGAAAACAGGCCTAAGATTGTTAAACAAAAGTTGTAAAAATAGAAGTACAATTTTTTCATTCTGTTCCATTTATAGAAAATTATATTTGCAAAAGGAATCATCTCATTGGGAACCTTGTTTTCCAAAATATGGATTAAAATACCTGGAAAAAATATTGGAAAAAATGTATTTTTAATTATTTATTAAGAAAGAAAATACTAAAAAAAGGTTTTAGAAATTATTTTAGGTTCTAAAATTAATTTATCTAAAATTGTAGTTCATCTGACAACAGAAACACCTGCGGGAAATCAGTTAAAAGTTGTAAAACTGATAAAGTTCATGACATTTACTCTCATTACACAGGCCAACGATGGAAAAACTTTTTAAATAATTTTCACTAATCCCAGTGTTATTTGATGTGCTGATTCCAAATATGGGAGTTAAATATCTAAAAGTTTTTATAAATGTTCCCTTTTAAAATCCTTAAAAGTAATGAAAATTCTTAAAAAATTTAGCCTTTTTAAGGCCAATAAGAAAGCGGGAAAAAGGATACAAAAAGCTAAAACATAAATTTTTAGGCTAAATTATGAATAAAAAGAAGATGCCAGGTGTATCATACTTCTAAAGAAATTAAATCTGAAATAAAATCTCAATAATTTTTTCGAAATTTATTTTTTTAATGTTAAAAAATATATATAAAAAAAACTAAAAATCAGGTAAAAATACAAAAAGTTGATTAAGAAACATTAGGTTCCCAAAATAGGCCCAAGCACCTCAAAATCGGTACTGATTTTCAAAAATTTTATCAACACTCCTGAAGGATGATTCAAAATTAAATCCTTTTTATTTTAAAATTTTGAAGTACATAAAAAAAAAAAATAATTAACCATCGGACATAGCCCTTTCCATGAGCAAACAAAACTGTAAACTGGTGTAACTAAACATACTTAAACTATCCTATACCCCGTTTCTGTAACTTTAAGTGAGAGGTTCTCACATCGAGAAGTGTGAAACAAAAAATTCCATCGTTTCTCAATTTGTGAGTAAAGTGTGTTTCTGTATACATCTGTGTGTCCATGTTATAACATAAGGTTATAACTTTGGGAGTTTTAGAATTTTAAAAATTTAATTTCCAAAAAATGCGAAATAGCTCCCAATGAAACAAATCCCAAAAATATGAAATAATTCCAAAGTCGAAGAAATTATTTGTGTAAAATAACTTCCAATGAAATAACACCCAACTGATGTGAAAAAACTCCCAACTCCTTACGAAAGTGTGGTGGACAGCCGGCCTACAACCGTGCGCAATGGTTTTCAAATCTGGGGTATTTCACACACTGGCTTCGCCAAATTAAGCCTTTTCTTGATAAATAGACTATTTATATTCCATTAACTTATGTCACTATGTTCAAGGACATTATGGCATTTTAAGGTTAAATTTAGCGAAGCCGGTGTTCGAAATAGTCCATTGTTTTTTGGGTGTTATTTCATTTTAACCGTTGGGAGCTAATTTAATGTACCTGTATGTATCTATGTATGTATGTATGTTTGTATGAATGTATAAATATTTGAGTGGTTTTTATAACCGTATTCAATAGTGTAACAATGTATATAGAAGGGTAATTAATGTACACACTTATTTAAATTTTAAGCAAAATGCATTCAGTTGAGTTGGTCAATGAAAATTAATCTTATCTTTCAGAAAATTGTGGAGAAATTTAATCGCAACTTATCGATACCAGCTGATAAAGATATTGCCGTTCGCACATTTAATCTAACTCAACGTAAAATTTCGCTTAAATATCACTATGCCAAAGGTGCTTTGACAGCTTCAACTCGTGAATTTATAAAACCTCAGAAACCGGATTATGGACAGGAAATTATATTCGATTCTTCCTCAATAAAATCCTACAAGGTTTGTTAAAAAATCTTATTAAGAATGTTAGTCCTAAATACATGTCGTCACCTGACTCCTCCGACCAAAAGGCCCTATCTATAAAAACATTTAAATATTGGAGGTAAAAAGTCCAAATTATCCATTTTTATATACGCCATTGTCAACTATCAAACAATTTAAATAGTTTTTCGCTGCTGTAAAATTTTAAAAATGTTAGATAGGGCAGTTTGCGTTTTAGGTGACGATATGTAGAATTCTATTTATAATAAAAAACTATGTGATAAATCGCTAAAAGTGTGAACAATAGAAAAATGGATTGTATAACTTTTTCAAAACTGTATATGTGAAAAAATCCGCTAGTACACGTAAAATTTTAGATATAACGGAAAATCTTGTGAAAATATTTTTTAAAAATGTTTTAATCTTTGTGAGTTTAAATATTATTTTATTGAATTAGTATCTGATCCCAGCAAAAACTAGGTAATGACATTCAATTGTAATTACTTACCTAACAACATACTTTTTAATTACTACTATTTATCGACTGGAGTATATGGAAGTAGTCTAATAAGGTCTTACACTTACTAATGTGTTATATAAATATATTCTAATTCATTAGTCATGTCAGTGAAGATATAGAAGCTATATACGCTTTTCATGCGATTTACAATGACTACTTCTTCTAATTACGTGCAATCGTTTGTGGTAAGTACTTGCCTTCAATGACAGCCCGTATTAAAATAATGACCTAAAATGCTATTGTTTAAGTAAATTTTAGCATTTTAACCCCTTATGTACAAAAAAGAAAATATTTTATCAAAATTGTAAAGATAAAGTGTAAAGATAAACACCCTTATTATGTATGTGTATTTTCTATAGAAATATAACTACCCAGCAAAAAATCTGAAATTTTTGGTAATAGCCAGTAGTTATTTCATATATTACTTGGTAATGAGTGTTCATTATCATCCACATTATTTCATTTAGCTGAATAGGTTATTACTGGTAAAGAACAAAACAATTTGGATTTGTTATGGCTCAATTGTCTAGGTCGTTCATTTAACAAACAGGGGGTTCGTGGTTCGAGCCCTGCTGGATACTGTTTATTTTTTTCAAAATGACATTCATTTATATATTTTTGTAAAAAGCCGTTCTCAAAATTACAAAAAGCAACATGTTAATGGAGCATCGAGTAAGCGGCTGGAGTGAGAAACACCTAAAACAACTGAATGCCTGGGTTCAAATCCCGGCAGAGGAATTTTTTTATTTTTTGTTTTCTACATACAAAGTCGGCCCAAAATAACTAGCTATAACATAACATATTTGTAGGTTTATTTGTAACTAGTTATTTCGCAAAGTTTTTGTAATCAAATTAGTAACCATTTATTAATTTGTTTAAGGTAGGTACATATTATTTGAACCTCGTCGAACAAAAATAATTAGTTATTCACCCCAAAAGTAATTAGTTTCCACGTGATTGCAATATTACTTTCTAGATTACTAGGTAATGAAAATTTTTGCTGGGTAAGTTAAAAATCTATTACTAAAAATAGTATTATGTATGTCGACAGAAAGTGTCGATGTGTATTTTACTGGTGACAAAAACTTTCAAAGCTATTAGCATCAGTTCCCATAGCTCAAATTTGCTGAAAATGGAAGTTATGAGTACACCAGAGGAACATATAATGTAATGTTCGAATATTCGAAGTTAAGTACGAAAATTCGAAATAAAGTTCGAAAAAATTTTTGTGGTTTTAAAATACTCTCTGAATCATAAAAACCTAAAAACGAAAATCTGACTATTCGAACATTTGTTCGAAAATGTTTTGAGTCTACTTAAATCTCTGCCTGTAGTCCAAATTGACTAAAATTTGATAATTATGATTACTATGGTGGCAATATAGTATTGTGGTCGAAAATTCGAAATTAAGTTCGAAACATATTTAATGGTTTTAAAATAATCTTTGAATAATAAAAAAACTTCGAAAAGTCGAACTTATGTTCGATAGTGATTTAAGTCTATTAAAACTATTTCCTGTAGTTTAAATGGAATGACGAAGACATTACAATATTATATTCGAATATCCGAAATTAAGTTCAAAAGATTTTAAAATAATCTATGTATTTTGAACTTTTGTTCGAAATACAAAAAAAGTCTTTTGTATTTAGTTATAGAAAATATTGTTCCTATTTCCAACTTAGTATTGAGAAAAAACCAATTGATATTCAGAAATTGAAATTAAAATTTCGACGTGGAGCCGTGCCCACATTCAAAATAAGTATAAAATTTCAACCCCAGGAAAATTAGGCAAACAAATTAGCAATCTGGGGAATTTCTGATAGCTAAATGAAAATCGGCACATAGCTTCCTGTTAGAATAATTAGTAAGGAATTAAAAGTCACCGAAAAAATCTTGTTCGCTTAGCGCCGAATATCTTGCTTAACATGCGGCGGACGCATTTTAATGTTATTATAATTACTATTGAGAATTGAATTTCCTACATTTTGGTTGAAAAATATTTTTGAGTATCTTGAGTTGTTTTCGAGCTATAGTGCATTACTTTTCCATTGCACTAATATTTTCAAATCTTAATATATATTTTACTAATAACATGTTAGTCATAATTTTTACGTTATTCATAAGCAGTTAATATATTCTTATACATTGTTACAAGTTTTATCTCAAATTCGCTCTATGACCCATAGTGCAATGTCTGTCTATCAATAATTTCAGATAGTATCACATGTCATATTTATGATCAGAATTATAAAAAAATTGGTGGTGACAATCCACATATTTAGGGTAATATTTGCACCAAATCTAATTAAAATCAGACTTTATATTTAAATATTTTGTAACAATTTTTGATTTTTCAAAAGAGTAAAAAAACTGTGGTTTTCATTAATATTGGAAACAAATTAAACTCGGTTGTCTATATTAGAGATAGTTGTAGTGGTAGTCTGATTTCAATGAAATTCGGTGGAAATATATTTCTGACTTTGTAGATTATGTCCACCAATTTTTTTTAAATTATATTCATAATTGTGACCTGTGATCACATCGGAAATTTTGGATAGACGGACATTGCACTTATGCGAAAATATTCCACAACCAAAATGTAGGAAATTCCATACTCTATAGAAATTATAATACTGTCAAAACGCGTACGACGCATAATAAGCGAGATATTCGCTAAAACAGATTTTTGTAACCTTTGACCTTCAATATCTCTTAGCGTACAGGATATTTTCGGTGACTTTTAATCCCTTACTAATTATGCTAAGGAGAAGCTATGTACCAATTTTCACTCCTCAAATTTTGTATATCGTTAGCTTAGTGCGCAACCGTAAATTTTGTAAATTTTAAAGGAGAAGAAAAAACTTTATAACTCTTCTTGTTTTCATATTTTTAAAATCTGTAAACGTAGTTTTCTTCTTAGATTTCTCCTTTTTATACCCTTCACCTTCGTCAGAAGGACATTCATAAAATATTTTTCAAGTTAGACGATTCACCAATTTTGAATGTAATACTGGGGGTTTACTGTGTAATTCGATTCGAATGAACAAATTTTCGAATTTGTATACATGGTGTTGCGAAAAATCTCTCGAATCGAAATACGGAGTAAACTCCCTGATCAACTCAGAATATGTTTGTAAAATTCTACTTCCCATGCTCACTATTTGTGGGCCCGTTCATTCCTAGAACAGTGAAATATTCAGAAATAGATTTTTATAAAAGCCTAAATAAAATCGTTGAACGTCTTCAAATTGAAAAATACATATTTTTATAATAAAATTTATGGGCTCATGGCTTAACCGAAAATTACAAGATAATTTTATAAATTTTTCACATCTTGGACCAAAAAATAAATTTTAAGCGATTTTCTGTATAAAATCCTATATTTGACCGCGGTTTTATCAATAATACTGAATTTCATTATCGTATATCAATAGTTACATGAACATCAATAATATATTTGGAATAATGCATTCAATGGGGTTAAGAACATTTATAGACCGATCCACATAAACATTGGTAGGAATATTTTTTATTTATTTCGGTTTCTTTAAAATTTATTTATACCGAATTTCATAGCTATAACATTTTTAAATCTGTAATAAGTGTTAAAGTTATTTTCTGTAGAAGGTGAAGGACCTATGGGTGTAGTGTCACCTTCTTCATAAAATTTGGTAAAAATATTTTGGTTCCTACATAATTTGTTTATTTTATATGGGTTAATTATATCTCGATCCTCATAAAATTTAGTATGCAGTTTTCGGATTCTATAGAAGTTGAAGAGTGTTATGAACGTTAAACTTACGTTTTGAAGGGGATCGTCCACAGGGAGAAAGGTCAATTATGGACCGATTCTTATTAAAATTTAACAAAAATATTTCGGTGAATATAAAATGAGTTTTTGTCGAATTTCATTGCTGTACTTGTTTTTCTGGGGGATATATATTTTTAAAGAAAGATACATATAAACAGGTTTTTCAATCCAGTATTTAGCATTAAAGTAATTTTCTGAAGCAGACCTTAAATATGGGGATGGCGTCAAATGTGTTACATACACATTTTTGGACAAAGATCTCGATTTTTATCAAACTAGTTTGTGGTCCGTTATCTCAATCTCCGGTTATCTGATTATGTTTTATCCTAACGATAAACCTGTTAAACGATAACCAGAGGTTGAGATATTGGCCCTTAGAATTCAATAAGGACCCAGAATATATATGTATGTATACTTTTGTGGATATACTTCGATGTGTTACAAACGGAATGACAAAACAATCACCCATCTTTTTTGATGGTGGGTATAAAAATACAAAAATGCTTTTTATTCAAAAAGTGGCAAGAAACAAAAAAAGTCGCAAATTTAGTTCATTTTGACAAGGGGTCACAAAAAGTGGCAAAGCACTTAAAAAAGGGTCAAATTGCGACTTTACCCTTCAAACATTTAGAAGACAAAACTATTGCGCATCACCCCCGACGCCACGTCAGAAACACTTCTGGACGA